GCATTACGGTATTTAAGGCCAAGCTAAACACCGATAGTTGACTGAACCCGCATGTGAACCCAGTCCCGAGCACGAATTCGAAATTAATCCAAACCCGAACCTGGAATCAAACCCAAATCTCTCACACAAAAGCCAATGACTGGTTAGGTTAGGTTAGGTTAGATTAGGTTAGGTTAGGATTTACTAAGGGTAGGTTAGGTTAAAGTGTGTTATGTTAAAGATAAGTTAAGGTAAGCTATGTTAGAAGTAAGTTAGGTTAGGTCAGGTTAGTTTATGGTGGGTTATGTTAGAGTTACGTTAGATTACGTTAGATTATACATGGTTAAACTCCTAGTATGGTATTGAGTAAGTCTTTGATAATATACCTTTATACCTGATGGCTTATTAGGGGAAATACAGCTACAAAACTTCCCTCACTGCACTTGACATTTTTCAATTCCCAAACTGAAAGGTCAGGTACCCATTTATAACTTGAGTGGACTGATGGTACCCTGGACGTGAACCAATGACCCTTACTCCAGGAAACGAGAGGTTTAACCACTCGGCCACCGCAAGCCATTACTGTAATAACCCAATTTCAACAGCAGTAAAGTTAGAAATCATGAAATTTGGAGATATTGAATTTATTGCATGGTATATATATATATCTGTTGTGGGAGCGATATGATTCTGAGTGTATGTAGTCTCTCAGGTAACTCTCAGGTAACTCTCAGTTAACTCGAGTAATTCTAAGAAACTCTCAAGTAACTTAGGTAACTCGGGTAATTCTTAATTAATTTTCAGGTAACTCTTAAATAACTTGGTTTTAACTTCCATTTTTTTTCTTCTGTTTTCTCTTTCTCTACCATTTCTTATTACTTTTTCTCACCTTTTTCTTCTTTTTTCCATTCTCCTCCTTTTCCCCTTATTCCTCTTTCTTTCTCCTTCCTCTTCCTTTTTCCCTTCTTCCTCTTACATTTCTCTTTCGTCCTCTTCCTATTCCCATCTTCTTCTTGCCTTTCCCATTCTTCCTCTTCCTATTCCCATCTTCTTCTCTTTCTCCTTCTTCCTCTTCCATATCCCTTCATTCTCTACCATTTCCCATTTCCCCTTCTGCATTTACTACTTCCTTAACATTCACCTTTTCTCTTTCATTTCCCTCTTCTTCATCTTCCTTTTCCCATCTTTCTTCTTCAGCTTCCTTATCCCTTTCCCACTTCCGGTTCAATATCTCGGGTCATAAATAGCATGAGGCGAAACGACCTCCCAAAACTCTTAGAAATGACCCATCCATTACCACGAGGGAACATCCTAGAGTGAGGAATTCTTCGACAAATTTATTCCAAGAGGCAGTGAGCGCAGCCAAAGCCTTTAAGTCTTCTCACAACCCCACAGCATGTAGACTCGATTTGAAGGTTCGTACTTTCCATATCAGGTTCGTAAACTCGATTTCAGGGTCGTGCAGTGGATTTTTAGCTTCGTAAACTCGATTTTAGTGTCGTGTTTTGGATTTTAGCTTTGTAAACTAGATTTCTGGGTCGTGTACTAGATTTTAATTTCGTAAACTTGATTTCAGAGCCATGTGCTGTATTTTAGCTTCGTAAACTCGATTTCAGGGTCGTGTACTGGATTTTAACTTCGTAAACTCGATTTCAGGGTCGTATACTAGTTCTCTGTAACAATTATTCACTGATAACAGATTTTTGTCGTTATTATCTATTTTATCCCACCATCACTTATCAAATAGTTCTTTGTTATGACTTTTATTGTCCAGTCTTGGTACAGAAAGACACGGGAGTACTCGACGGCACTTGTGAAGCTTCGTATACTGTAGAGTTGCACTGAATAACACCCTTCTCATATCTATCCTCAGCCAGAGATTGAACCCAGGACGTAATGGTGAGAGATTCCCGAGTCACTGCTTGTTTTGAACGGTTAACCTCTGACACCGATTCACTGAAATGTGTTTGTGATTCCCTTTATAACATTAATTATATGTTATTTTATTATTTTTATATTATATATGTGTTTATTTGATGTGATTGGAGGAGTAAATTAAAGATTGAGTTAAGACCTTAGTAAAAAAATATATATTAAGCATCCATTGTTATTCTCTCTCTCTCTCTCAACTCTGTTCCTTAGTATGTGTCTTATCACTGTGTCTCCTCCATCCTCCTGTCATAAAAACTCAACAACTCTTTAACCCTTTATGATAGTCCTTGCGTTAAGGAGCTGACCACGCCACCATGTTAACCTCTCCCTCCCTACCTCCTTCCCTGTCTCCCTCCTTCTCTCCCTCCCTCCCCCCCTCCTTCCCTCCCTCCCCCCACTAGGATAATACAAATCTCTAGCTTTAATTAACAGATATAATCACTAATGCATGCAAGGTGAAGACACAGATACAGGTGGAGGAGAGATTTCAGAACGACACATTGTAAAAAAAAAACTATACTTTTTGTAATAAATTTTGTATTTATTGTGTTACGTTATTTTGTGTAAAGTATGAGGACAGTATGTATTATAAAACCACTATATGTATACGGTAACATATGTATACTATAACACCTAAGGGTCAGTATACATAACAAAGCCTCATCATCCAGTAACTCGTTTTAAAGTTACGTTGTAATTTCAATTTCCCAATAAATAAACACAATGTTGACCTCAGTCTTTATAGAATGAGGATAAACTCTGAATGGTTCTCAAGCCACAAGGATACCAGGGTCAGTTTGGGGGTCCTGGAGGGCTCTCAAGGGTAGGGGGGGGGGACAGAAGGGGTGAGAGGGGGGGGAGGAAAGGTGTCTTGAAGGGCTCTCAGCGGTATGAGGGGAGAATTGTTACTATGACATCGAGGGTTAGAGGGGAGACAGAGGTGTGAGGGGTCTTTTTTTTATTAGAGGGTTCTGTCAACGTGTGGAGTTCATCTCGGTGTAAAAATCCAATGAGGGTAAATTTTAATGTATGTCTTATGATTCGTCTTCATTTATTGGGTTGTTTTATTTTCACGGTCATCTGCAGGTGGAAGTGACAGCTGTTTATAGTGTTGTGGCTGGGTACTATACGAAGGGGTAGATATTGTTTACTATAGTGGCTCGAAATTGATGGTTATGAATCAGATTTATAGTACTTATACACACACACACACACACACACACACACACACACACACACTACAACTGGATACGAACCAGAGACTCTTAGAACAGGAGGATAGTGATGCATCCACTCGGCCGACACAACCTGTAAATATATAGCACTAGTTAATAAAGAACTGAAGCTCGTCATACCGTTTAAAGTCAACAGGTACAGGAGGTTCTTGAGACGACTTCCACCAGACACTTGTGGTGGAGGGCAACATTCCTGAGGGGGACGATGGTGGCTGTTGGAAAGGCTGAGGAATTGGGTCGAGGTTATTCAGCGACATCCACGTATAAGGAACCAAGGTTTTTCAACGGCATTCTTGGCAAGTCCAGCACGGCGAGGATTCCGACGAAATTTTGGATGTGCAACACCTGAGGAATATAAATATGAGGGGAAGAACCTTTTGGCCTTGGAGCTGAGGGTCACAGGTAGGGTGGAGGGGGGGGGGGACTGTAGGTTAGAGTGTTAACTTAAGTGACTGTTAAATTATACTCTGTTATCGTTAAATATATTTCTGATCTATATTTATAGGTAGAAATATATATCATTATCTGTCCACTAAGTTAATGTATTTCTTTATTATTATTATTATTATTATTATTATTATTATTATTATTATTATTATAATTATTATTATTATTATTATTATTATTATTATTATTATTATTATTGGTCTTTCATCTAAATATTCATGTATAGAATTGTTAAATAAAAACGAAAAATGACTTTATTATGATGTCTTGAAATATATCATTGGCTGGAATTTAATACTGAAATACTTGCATGTGTGTGTGTGTGTGTGTGTGTGTGTGTGTGTGTGTGTGTGTGTGTGTGCGACTCCAGACTCTAATTTCATCAGATTTTCTTCAGCGCCTCGTCCAACTCTGCCTGACCGCTCCCTGTTATCAGCGCCCTGTAAAAAAATAAACCCAATATCTTGAGTATTTTTACCTTCCTCTCCACATACCCTGCAGGTGATGGCGCTGGTCTTGTTAGATACACGGACGAAGGCATTGAGGTTAACACTGAGGCATTAAGGTTAACACTGAGGATTAAGGTTAACACTGAGTATTGAGGTTAACACTAAGGGCATTAAGGTTAACACTGAGGGATTAAAGGTTAACACTGAGGGATTAAGGTTAACACTGAGGGATTAAGGTTAACACTGAGGGATTAAGGTTAACACTGAGGCATTGAGGTTAACACTGAGGGATTAAGGTTAACACTGAGGGATTAAGGTTAACACTGAGGCATTGAGGTTAACACTGAGGCATTGAGGTTAACACTGAGGGATTAAGGTTAACACTGAGGCATTGAGGTTAACACTGAGGCATTAAGGTTAAGAGGCATTAAAGTGTGTATATCGTCGTAGGCCTGAAGACTAACAAAGCTACACCGTGTAGTGGAAGAGGGTGTCTCCAATAGCTCCTGACAGTTCCCGTTCTCTCTCTCTTCCCCAAACTCTTTCGTCTCCCACTTCCCAGTTCTTTCCCTCCCGCGTGAAGGAAGCTCACAAACGTCCAACCAATCCCTCAGAAACAAAAGGAAAACCAATCAGACTCACTCGACCAGCGTTCAATTGCTCTAACCTAAGTGAATGACAATATCCCACGAGATTACTTGTCAGTGCCTATAACTTCTCACACACCAGACTAGTAGTGTACAATACATACATCAGGTGTAGAAGATATAAAACAAGAAGGAAAGAAAGTTTATTCATGTCGTTCTTAGAATATGTACAGATAATTTTGTGAATTGTTGAGACATTTGTATCAGCGATATCTAACCGTCACGTTATCACTACCAAAGATATGGCTATATAGAAGATATCATTTCATCATATTCTACCCAACTATAATATTCTATTGACCTCTTGACAGCAGTGTTGTCTGCGGCGGATCTGGTGACGGTGGTGCTGATACTGCTAAGTGGTCTGGCCAGGGGAGTGTGGAGCAGTTCTTTCGCCTGGAAGTGTTTCGACGCCTTTGTCCACCTGCCTGTCGGTGAGTACTGACCACCTCCCTCCTTGCCTCGGAGTTTCGTGAGAGAGAGAGAGAGAGAGAGAGAGAGAGAGAGAGAGAATATCTCCTTCCTGTGTTTCTGTTGGGTTTCTGTTTCCGTTTGAGCGCTTCCTGTTGTCCACGAAAGAGTTCTACCGGTCTCCGTTATGGCTTACGGTTTATGTTTGGTCTCTTCCAGTCATACTAAGGTCCTTCGGATATCTTCATTAGGTTACGTAAGAGCTTTCTAATGCTACTTGGGTTCCATAATTTACTGTAAATATTTTCTAGTGTTTAGTTAGACTCTGTGACTTCATGCTTTAATTGTGTTCTATTTTCCTTTCTACTGTACTTGAAGCTTCTTGTAGCGGCACGTGAGTCTAATGACGTTGTTAATTTGAGTCTCCTTCTTCCAGTGTTGCATGAGCTTATTTCGTACTGCTGTAATTGTTACTTTGAATGTTTTTGCAGTGTTACCTGGGTCTAATTCTTGTAGCTGTTACTTTTTTGTACCAATACGTAGGTCTCTAGGATGACTTCCCTCTCTACTTATTGTCTTTAAAGTCTCTACGTAACACTTGTCAAGGTTCCACTTGTTATGTAAACCTCCACTTCCTCCTTCCTCTTCCTCTTCCTTCTCTTCCTCTATCTTCTCTTCTTATCCCACCTCTTCCCCTATCTCCTCTTCCCCTACCTTCTCTTCCCCTACCTCTTCTTCCCCTCCATCCTCTTCCCCTACCTCCTCTTCCCCTCCACCCTCTTCCCCTTCCTTCTCTTCCCCTCCCTCTTCTTCCCCTTCCCCACTATAAAGGATTCATTCAGTATGATGGTGGTGAGCCAAACATAATTGCCAGCCCTCACAAGTAGCTGGAGTATAGACTGGGCTGATGGTCGTACACAGAGACCATCAGCATGACAGGGAATTAACAGTTCTCTTACCAGTTTAAGATTGGCGTGATCCCTGACGAAAGAGAATGAAGTAATGAGGAAAACAAACATATTTACTGAACCTTGTGGTAAATTATCAACAAAACATTTCCCAGAATTACGTATCATACCTTAAGCAATGTTTATTTTCTTGTTTTTTTTTTATTCTTTTATCAGACTGCTGCCACAAGGTGATACAAAGTCATTTCTATAAACAGTATATGTGTTGTGTAAATGAGTTGGTAAAGTTGACATAGTGGTTTGTAGACATATACAAGTTAGAGTTGAGAGTTGCAACGGGCACAGTGGCCGACTTAACTGAGGGGTCACCCGTTATGGTCTGATGTGTTGTCTATATAACTGAGTCTTTGTCTCCTGAATGTTTGTGTTTATCCCTTGTATATAAATGTGATATTTACTCGTTAAATATTCCCCTACCCTCCCTCCATCGTTCCCTCTCTCCCTCGCTCCCTCCTCCCCTCCCTCGCTTTCTCCATCCTCCTTCCCTTCCTTGCTCCCTCCATTCCTCCATCGCTTCCTTTCCCCCTCGCTCCCTCTCTCCCTCCCTCCCTCCCTCGCTCCCTCGCTCCCTCGCTCCCTCACACTTAATCTCCCTCGCTCACCTCTGCACATACACACAGTGAGGTAGGAAGCAGCTACCATCGCACCAGCCAAAGTGATGATGATAAGTGATGTTGACTCACTCTTGACGCTGCTGTCACCCAAACATCTGGAGTCTCCGTCAGATCACTGAACCGGGTCCTAAAGTCAACTCAGCTTCACCCCTCTAACGGAACCTGGCGCTGGAGGTGTGTGTGTGTGTGTGAGTGTGTGTGTGTGTGTGTGTGTGTGTGTGTGTGTGTGTGTGTGTGGCCGCCTTCAGTAGTGACGAGGGTAATGGTGTCTCGCTGCTGCCTCTCCTTACTCATCACGCTTTCCTCGCCTCTCAACGCCATTATGTGTCATTGACCTTTAATGGTGTGTGTGTGTGTATGTGTCAACTACCTGTATATTGAGGTTAATGATTATTATATTATGGTGAATGTTGTCTGTGTGAGTATGAGAAATGATGGTTATAGTTTGTTATTTGAGGTGTGTGTGTGTGTCGCCACTATTGCTAATACTTCTACCACAATCTCCACTTCTGCTGCTACTACTACTACTACTACTACTACTACTACTACTACTATTACTACTACTACTACTACTACTACTACTACTACTACTACTACTACTACTACCACCAGGGGGAGCATCCACGACAGTATCCATAGCGACGCTGGTGGCCGTGACGGTGGAGAGAGTAGCCATTATCAGGACCCCCTTCCTCTCCCGCACCCTCTGCACCGCCTCCGTCGCCCACAAGACCTGCCTGCTGGTGCTCTTAGGCTCTGTGGTGTTCAACGTACCTTATTGCTTCACCTTCACCGTCGCTCCTGGACACCTGGCCTATAGTGACTTTGCTAGTTCCAGGTGAGATGTGTGTGTGTGTGTGTGTGTGTGTGTGTGTGTGTGTGTGTTTTAATGCACTTGTTTGTGTTTTTTATGTATATTCTGCATGTTTATCTCTCTCTCTCTCTTCTTCCCTCCCTCTCTCTCTTCTTCCCTCCCTCTCTCCCCGCTTCCCTTCTTTTCCCTGACACACACACACACACACACTGGAGACGGATATGAACCTCGTGACCAGAAAGTTTACCTTCAGCCCCCACACGTCAGCTTATGAATACTAAATCGTTGTCCCTTCGCTTTCTAATACTGCCCGAACCACTTTCTCTGTGCTTTCATATAACTTTCTTTATTTTATTCTGCTTTTATATTTTTATCATGTACCTTTCTTTGTTTCTTTGTGATTTTGTTATTGCTTTGACTTAGCTGTATTTGTTTGTGCTTTCTTATGACTTTCTTTTTTCATCTGTGGTTTCTTTATGCTTTCACATAACTTTATTTATTGTTTGTGTTTTCTCATTGCTTTCTAGGGGGGGAATTTTTGTTTTTTATTCCTCTCTACTTTCTAATCATTTTCTCTTCATTTCTCTTAATTCGTCTGTACTTTCTATAGTTTTATTATAATTTCTTTCACATTTTCATGCATTCTTATCATTTTCTTTCGATTTATTTCTGGGAATTTGTATTCAGAGAGGTGAGAATTGGTCTATTTATTTCTCTTTCTCCAGCATAGGAAATATTAGGCACACTGTATAGGTAGGGAGTTAGTGTGCTACATCTCTTGTCCAGGAAAAAATTCTCTCTCTTAACTACTTCATCCATAACGCTGATCTCTTCCTCCTCCACCTTCAGGTACTACACCGTACACAACTGGGTGCGTCTAGTAGTGTTGGGTCTTGTCCCTGCCGTCACCCTACTGCTGGGGAACCTCCTCCTCCTACACGCTCTCTGGTGCCCTCGTCGAGACTCCCTCCCTCCCAGGCCTCTCGTCTCCTGCACTGTGAGTCTTTTGGGGTGGATGGATGGATGGATGGATGGTTGGATGGATGGATGGATGAGATTTCTTGCTTCGTGAGTCACAGTGGATGGATGGATGGATGATTGGATGAATGAATGAATGAATAAATGAATGGATTCTCTTCCCCTTCACCCACTAATACCCTTCTTCCCCTAGTACACGAACACAACCCTCCTCCCCTCCTTCACTACAGCACCTCCCCTTGCAGGACCAGCGGCGCCTCTCGTGGGTGTTGGTGGGGATGATCTGCAGCTTCCTGGTGGGGGAGTTCCCTACCCATGTGGCTTCAAGAGCTTCAGCTACCTCCCTTCTCTTCCCTGGCCAGCCGCAGTACCTCTACACCCAAGGCTTCAGGTCAGAGCTTCAAATCGGGTCTTCAACTCAGGTTTCAGGAGGAGCAGTTACTCTGAGTGGTGTAGGCTTCAGGTCAGGGGTTCAGATCAGGGCTTCAGATCAGGGCTGCAGGTCAGGGTTTTATCTCAAGTTTCAAGAGGAGCAGTTAGACTCTGATTGGTGTAAGCTTCATGTCAAGCTTCAGGAGGTCATCAGGTCAAGGCTTCAGGTAGACTAAAGAATTTCAGGGGTTCAGGATGGCGACCTGTGTAAGTGCTTCTGAAAAAATATCAAGGTTTTGGCAGATGTAGCGGTCCTGAAAGGCAACAAGACTCAGACGAAAATCAAGAGGACCCTTCAGGACAACCACCTTCAGGAGAAATAGAACTTCAGGCAGAGTAATAATAAGACTAATTCATTTTAGATGGGTCCCGTACAGTCACTCAAAAAACTATCTGTACTTGGGGTGATCAATGAATCCCAGAATGAACACTGTGACTCCTGTTGTCTCGGTAAGGTTGTCAAAATCCTTCGCCCGTTGTGTCATATATTTTCAACACAATTTTGTATAGATAGTTTTTTGGGGGCAACAAATACATGAGCTACCCTTTATAGAAGTTATAATATACAGAACGAGAATGTATAATGCATAATGTATAATGTAAAATGTATGAAGTGTTAATGAGCGTCAGTGATTGATGGATGGTCTCGCATTTTTCATTCTAGGAACAAAAAAAACGATTTCATTCACTGGAAATACGTCTGGCTCAGTTTGGTGGGTCGATGTTTTGCCCCGGGAGAGAGATAATGTTTTTTGTTTTTTTTACTGTGGCTGTGGAGGGGTGATATATACTCTCTCTCTCTCTCTCTCTCTCTCTCTCTCTCTCTCTCTCTCTCTCTCTCTCTCTCTCTCTCAATTTTATCTTTTTCTTTCTTTCTTTCTCTCTTAATCTTTCTTTTTCTCTCTCTCTCTCTCTCTCTCTTAATCTATCTTTCTTTCTTTCTTTCTTTCTCTCTTTTTCGGTACGTCGTTTCTTTTTCCTGACAATAATAACATTTCCATTTTCATTCAAATTACACTGCAGCCATCACCATTGCCACTATCATCGTTACCGCCAGCCAGCTACGTTTTTTGCCAGACACATCATCATCATCATCATCATCATCATCATCATCATCATCATCATCATCATTTATAACACAACCACAACTACCGCTATGGCAATAACGAGACTATTTGTCTTCTCATTTTCAGCACAACCACCACTACCAACACCACTACTACCAGCGTCTAAAAGTTATCACCACCATTACCACTATCACCACAATCACCACCCCGATAACTATCACTACCACCATCAATATTACTACTACCTCCACCACCATCATCACCGCCACTACCATCACCACCACTACCACCACTACCACCATAATCACCACAACAACCATCATTACATCAATAATCATCAACTTCTCGTACTTCTTACTACTTTTTCTTAGGATTTTCACCATTCTTTTTTAATACTTTCCCACATAACTCACAGGATCTTTACTTTACTCACAGAATCTTCACTTTACTCACAGGATCTTCACATAACTCACAGAATCTTCACTTTATTCACAGGATCTTCACATAACTCACAGGATCTTCACATAACTCACAGAATCTTCACTTTACTCACAGGATCTTCACATAACTCACAGGATCTTCACTTTACTCACAGGATCTTCACTTTACTCACAGGATCTTCACTTTACTCACACAGGATCTTCACTTTACTCACAGGATCTTCACTCTTTACTCACAGGATCTTCACTTTTACTCACAGAATCTTCATACTCTTTACTCACAGGATCTTCACTTTACTCACAGGATCTTTCACTTCACTCTCACAGGATCTTCATCACTTTTACTCTCACAGAATCTTCACTCTTTACTCACAGGATCTTCACTTTACTCAAGGTGATCTTCACTCTACTCACAGGATCTTCACTTTTACCACAGGATCTTCACTTCAATTAGTTGGTGATCTTCTCACATAACTCACAGAATCTTCACTTTACTCTGCCAGGATCTTCAAGCTGGTGGTGATAACGCTAATGAGTATCCACTACTCCTGTAACTTTTCATTGTGCACTCAACAAGCGTTGCCCAGGAGCTGGCCAGCTAGAATCTCCCTGACCTCTGCTGGTAGGTATGTGGGGGAGACAGGGGTAAGGAGAGAGAGAGAGAGAGGAGCGAGGAGAGAGAAAGAGAGAGAGAGAGAGAGAGAGAGAGAGAGAGAGAGAACGAGAGAGAGAGAGCGAGAGAGAGAAAGAGAGAGAAAGAGGAGGGAGATGGGTAAATTAAATCTCAACATACCATTCTCTGTCTTATGATGTCATTAGTATAGCGATTCTCTCCCTTACCACTTGATCACCAAGAGAGAAATTCTTATAGGAAACACTGAACGGCACTAGACCTCCCTCCAACACCTCCCCCCCCACTAACCTCAATTTCTTTCCTCTGAATCACCCTCTCTCTAACACCCCCCACCCTCCTAGGCATTCCCATTATTTCCTCATTTCCTCCCTTCTTCCACACCCACCTCGTTCTCTTTTTACTTCTTTCTTCCCTCCTTACTTATCATCTCCCTTCTCCTCCCCCCTCCTTCCTTAAGAAAAACAGTACAATTAGAATCCATCAGAGTCTGAGAGAGAGAAAGAGAGAGAGAGAGAGAGAGAGAGATAGAGAGAGAGGAGAGGGAGGAGACACATTACACACGATAAAAAATATCATGTTAACTTTGAACTCTGATGTAATGTTATTTTTTTCTTTATAATTTATTTGTGATAATTGCTCACAGGATAGATACCAATCTTTTAAAAATGTCCATAACTCGAAAAAAATTATATAATATTGATAAAAAGTCTTATAAAATGTTTACTAATTATTTAATAGTTTGTTATTGATTAAGTCCAGCCAACATTTAATTGCGTGATGACAGTGAGTGAACTGACCTTATCTTAAATTACTCTCGTCAACCTAATATTGAACTTATGATACGTCTCCCCTCTCTCTCTCTCTCTCTCTCTCTCTCTCTCTCTCTCAACTGCTTCTAATAACTTATTTGCCCTTTCCTCCCCGTCTCCCCTGACCATTCCTCCCCACATCCCTCCCCATTTTTTTCTGTTCCTTCCTACATGCCTCTTCATTTTTCCTTCTCTCACAGCAGCCATCCTTCCTCTCATCCTACCTCTCCTCCATTTCCTCTTTCTACGCTTCCTCTCACCTTGCCTCCTCCCCTTCTCTTCCTCCTCCTCCACACACCTTTCACCATTTTTCCCCTCTCCTCACCGTTCACCATCTCCCATTGTCACTTCCTCTTCCACCCTTTCCCAATAGCTTTCTCCCTCTCCCCTTCCTTTCTCCCCTTCCCCTCTCCCTCATCCCTCACGACACCATCACCCCTTCCCCTTCCAACACTCTTCATCATATCCTCCTCTCACCTCATCCACTCCCCACATCCTTCACCATCTCCCATCTCCTCCTCCTTTCCCCCCTTCACCATCTTCCCCTCCTCCCCCTTACCATTTCCCCTCCTTTAACTTCTCTCTTCTCACCACGATACACAAAGACCTTCGTTCTCTTATCTCCATGCAGGTGTGTCTCCTGGGCTACACCACCGGTCTCCAGAGTAACTCCTCTCCAACGTGACTCTCGTGAACCACCTCCTTCACCGCCTCCTTCACTAGGCGTAGGAACCACCGCAGTTAATATCACCTACACCACTGCTACTACCTCCTTCGCCCATTACCACCTCCAGGATGATGATAGGAAGCCGTCGCCACAACCACCATCCTCAGAAATAACAACCACAACTACTACCAACATCACTACCACCCCCTCCACCCCAAAGACACAACAATCACAAATACTAGCATCACCAACTACCACCACTAACCTTAGGACAACTACAAACAAACCCCTGATTGCTGACATGCATGAATTATGATTATTGATGACATTCCCGACACGTTATTGAAGTGTGCTGACGGAGACGGTGGCTGACGGTGTTGGTGGAGACATCTATGTAGGAGAGAGAGAGAGAGAGAGAGAGAGAGAGAGAGAGAGAGAGAGAGGCCACAGGTGTATTGCGAGGTGTAACAACTAAGTGAAATTAAAACAAAAACAAGATCGAAGCCAAAGTAGTACATATTAACCCCTGAGAACACGTCAACTACAACTAGCCAAAATTAACCTTGATAAATAAGTCAAGGTCACTCATCTTCAAACTCATCATCCCAGAGGTTGATGAGATGAAGCCGTGATGTGAATTTGAGGAGATTCTGTCTCTTAACTTGGTGACAGACAGACTGACAGACAAGTTGACAGACTGGTGGATATGTTTATTGAGAAAATACCCGTCAATTTGATATTTCAGCTGACGAATAGAATTAATTTTTATTCGTACACTCTTATACAGAAATAAAGAAAATCTCTCTTTCTCTCTCTCTCTCTCCAGACACCTAAGAAACTGTAAATCACATTAAAACACAAAGAACCACAGTATGTTATGATACAAATTACAAACATAAGAAAAAAATAAACAAACCCTAAAGAGATGAATGGATAAATGACTAAAATCCCCACACTGGAAAAAAAATCCCCACAATGAGAAAAAAAAATCCCTACACTGAGAAAAAAATCCCCACCCTGGAAAAAAAAAATCCCTACCCTAAGAAAAAAAAAAACTTCCCCGAAAGAAAAAGTAATCACCCTTACATTAGATTAACTTAACATTGAAGATTGAGGACGTATGGTTTTTACCCTCTCATCCCATAAAAAAAAGTTAGGATAAACATAACTACAATATATCATAATAAACAAAACACAAAAAATATGCTTCATAATTCTGAGTCTAGGATGGTTCTTGGAGTCTCTTCTCGTGCTGGAGACAATGTGCTGGGGGGCTAAACTCTCCAGTAATACTCGTCCACCCTCACTACCACCATCACCCTTAGTGTTATAATCGAGTTTGTCTGTCCTGGCCAGCTGGTACACAGAGTCGACCTCCTCCTTCTCTTTCTTCTCTCTCCTCCTCCTCCTCTTTCTTCTTTTCCTCCTCCTCTTTCTCCCCCTCCTCCTCTGTCGCCTCCATTATCCGACGCCCTTTTTCTTCCTCCTCCTCCTATTCTTCCTCTTCTCTTAAGTGGTGTCTCTGCTCTCACAAAGACACAAATCAATCATACACAACATGGCTTTTCCGATGTCAAATTGGTATACCTTGCTGTAATGTGATGTGATGTGATGTGATGTGATGTGATGTGATGTGATGTGATGTGATGTGATGTGATGTGATGTGATGTGATGTGATGTGATGTACGGCTAGCCTCCAAGATCTAGGCACGTGACATTACAGGCAAAATAATGAAGTAGATTAACAACCGGCTCGAAAACAGGGTGGTAATAAATGGAGCAAAATCTGAATGGAAGAAAGTTACCAGTGGAGTACCATAAGGCTCTGCCCTGGGTCCCACTTTGTTTGTGATTGACGTTAATGATGAAAATATATGAGCCACGTTGTCAAGTTTGCGGACGACACGAGGATGTTTGGGAAGGAGGCAAGGCGACACTTTCCTAGTTACTGTTGATTAAGGAACAAAATCTAAGCGTTACGGTAAATTAATCAGTGTCTGGTGTGGTGCGGGTACTAACATAAGAGGGTAGTATGGTGCGGGTACTAACATAAGAGGGTAGTGTGGTGCCGGTACTAACATAAGAGGGTAGTGTGGTGCCGGTACTAACATAAGAGGGTAGTGCGGTGCGGGTACTAACATAAGAGGGTAGTGTGGTGCGGGTACTAACATGAGAGGGTAGTATGGTGCAGGTACTAACATAAAGAGGGTAGTGTGGTGCGGGTACTAACATAAGAGGGTAGTGTGGTGCTGGTACTAACATCAGAGGGTAGTGGGTACTAACATGGTAGTGTGGTGCGGGTACCTAACATCAGGTGTCAGTATGGTGCAGGTACTAACATGAGGGTAGTATAGTGCAGGTACTAACATAAGAGGGTAGTGTGGTGCGGGTACAACATCAGAGGGTAGTGTGGTGCGGGTACTAACATCAGAGCGTGGTGTGGGCCGGGCCTCTCAGTGTCTCGTCTGGGCTGTGTTATTGCTTCAGGACTCAAGTATTCAATCCACAGCCTCTCCCGAGATCCCTGAACCTTGCTACTGGGGGGTTCATCAATTTCTACTCTCTCTCTCTCTCTCTCTCTCTCTCTCTCTCTCTCTCTCTCTCAGAAATCAGTGTTGCCAGCTAGGGTTTGCATATAACTACAGCCATCCTATTTATTCTGTCTTGTCACACTAATTCAATTTTCTCAGTGACAAATGTATATAAATTACCCCCGTGGGATGGAAGGAATTAATTCAATTTTATCAATGTATCTCTTGTGTTCATAATTTGCATATTCGTGAAGGGAGATAGATAGAGGAGGGTGACCGATAGAGAAATAGACAAAAATGGATAAAAATAGAGAGAAAGGGATAGAGAGAGAGAGAGAGAGAGAGAGAGAGAGAGAGAGAGAGAATTCCATTGTTAAAGCCTAATTGGATAACAGCCTAAAGGAAAAAACACGCATAAACCTATTTTTTTTTTATTCTCTCTATATTACTCATTTCATTTATGTAGCGAGTATTACCACACTCTTATAACACAACTACTAATCTGTTCATTAAGTGGATACAAGATACAGCCAATGTTTTAAGAGAATACAGTCCTAGTAATTCGGTTCCCCTGTAGTGTAAATCTCCTGAAATAATTTGTTGAGGTAAAAAAAAAAATAATCAATAAAAATAACTATTATATAAAAAGATAATCTATATTTACGTAAAAAAAATAAATCAAAGTAACATTTAAGAACACAGTGTCAATATTAAAAGGGATATTTATTGAACATTATTGAAAGTGATTGAAGTTATTTATTGTTAGTATAAAGTCCATCTAGTTATGTGGCTTCTATCTATCATTAAAAGCTT